CCCCCCGGGGGGCCCCCCGGGGGGCCCCCACACAACTCAGGTAGAAAAAGGGGTACTGCAGCAGCAGACAAAAGAAGAGAAGGTGCAAAAGGAGACACTTGCTGACGAGGAGACAGCACGTCCCCCCGTCCCCCCTCCAGCCCCTGCTGCTGCTGCTGCTGCTGCTGCAGCAGCAGCAGCAGCAGAGGTGAGACAACGCATGCAGCAGCAAAGCTCACCACAGGAGACTGCTGGGGGGCCCCCCTATCGTCGAGTGTTGGGGGGCCTCGAAACCACCGCAGAAGAAGGGGAAGGGGGGCCCCTGGGTCTGCTGCATGCAGCCCTTTGGGGCTTGGGGGCCGACACAGAGACAGACACAGAGACAGAGACAGAGACAGAGGAGACAGAGGAGACAGAGACAGAGACAGAGGAGACAGAGACAGAGGAGACAGAGGAGACAGAGACAGAGACAGAGGAGACAGAGACAGAGACAGAGGAGACAGAGGAGACAGAGACAGAGATAGAGAGACACATGCAGGATAGTTGGTTTGTAACGGAGAGGAGACAGGGCGCAGCAGTAGGTATAGGGGGGGCCCCCGAGCTTACATGGGTACTGGGGGCCCCCCCAGGCTCTGTCTCTTCTTCTTTGTCTGTATACACAGACCCCACACAGACACGAGCAGCACTCATTGAGGCACTGGAGCTAGGCTTCAGAATGCATGCACACGAGCAACAAATACAAATGTCTCTTTTGGGGCTGCATGCAAACACCACGCATGCGGGGGCCCCCTACTCACCCACGCTGCAGTTCAACTTCGACACCGTACCCCTGCACGAGCAGCGCCTCATACAGGCAGAGGCAGAGTGGGGGGCCCCGGAGGGGCCCCAGGCCCCCGCAGTGGGTTCTATGGGACCCAGGGGCCCCCAGGGGGCCCCTGGGGGCCCCCCCCCGGGGGGCCCCCAGGGGCCTGAGGGGCCCCTGGGGGCCTCCATCTATGAGGTTTTGGGGGAGCTGCTGGGGGGCCCCCTCTCAGGTGACGTGTTGGGGGCCCCGGGGGCCCCCCTGGTGACCCCTGCTGAGGTTCAGCTGTCGGGTTTGGGGGTGCAAGAGGTGTCGCTGGTAGAAGGGGGTTTGGGGCTGCATGCGCGGGGCCCCGGGGAGCAGTGGATGCGGGGGCTTGTGAAGCAAGAAGAGCTGGTGAGGCTCGAGATGCTGGGGATGACCCTGGACGAGCTGCGGCTGCTGCTGCTTATAGAAGAGGAGATGGGGGGCCCCCAGGCCCCTCTGCCTGCTGAAGACTGGGCCCCAGAAGACAGAGAAGAACGCATGCACTTTCTGTGGGCCCCCCATGAGCTGCATGCGCATGCAGCAAAGGGCAAACAACAACAACAACAGCAGCAGCAGCAGCAGCAGCAGCAGCAGCAGCAGCAAGAAGAAGAAGAAGAGGAGACAGATGATGATTACCTCCTTGAGGAAGAAGAGGCCTTCTGGGAGCTGATGCTGGCGGAACCAGAGGCCTGGTGATACTGCTGCTGCTGCTGCTGCTGCTGCTGCTGCTGTTGCTGCTGCTGCTGCTGGTTGTTGTCTGCTGCAGCAGCTATTTGTTTGCTGTTTTGTTGCTCTGCTTTGGGGCTGTACTGTACAACAACCCCACCCTTTCCCTGTATAGAGGCAGCAACAGAGCTGCATGGAGACAGAAAAAAAAAAGGAGACAGTTTGTCTCTGTCTCCTTTCTAGGTGTCTCCTTTTGCTGCTGCTCCCCACACCT